TGATGGAATTGGGTTCGTTTAACAGTTCTTCGGCTTTATTAAAAGCATCTTCTAAGAGGTGAGGAGGCAAAACATCATTTAGAACCGAAGCTTCTTGAAGCGATACTGAAAGCGTGCGTTGTGGTTTGTTTAGAACGTCTTGGCCTTCGACCTCTGGCTTGGACCGATGGCAGAAATTTAGTGGAGGAGAATTCGAGATTTGTTGTGACACTTGAAGATAATCTTGTTTAGGTGCTGACGTAGATGGACCAGGTGCTTCGTCATCTAACAGGGGAATAGTTGGAATGGATCCTTGTATTCTGCACTTCCAACTCCGGAGCGGAAGAGTACATTGTCGGTTGGAATGGAAGCCATGAATGCTGCGATGTGCATCTTTCGTTCGTCTGATGACATGCCTTTCCAATCGGCATATGTTTTACGAAACATGTGGTAGGCTGGTGCTAGGACGTAAGGACCATCATCATATATGGCTTTGACAACATTGCTGCGTGCTTTCAAGGCATCTAGGCACTCTGAAAGTGTCGCGTCTCGATGACTACGACCCTCTGAGCGCACGTGGGCGGATATTTCATCTTGTGATAAGACGTTTTGCCACTAAATTAGATTTTGGCCGTACACTCCGTCAATGGAAGCTTGGTTTCGAACTTTTTTAATCATTTTGTCTCTCATTTGCTTCTCTTTATGAGTTTCAAAATAATCCATGAACTGACTCGCGGGACGATTGCTGGTGTGTTCCTTTTCTATTTGAAGCCATTTTGATTTCAGTTGCAATAGCTTACGGTTGTAAATATGAGTACTTTCGCTTCCGTAAAGAGAATCTTCTTCTTTGCATGTGGCACCCCCGAAAACATCACTCAGAATAATTTTTCTTTGGATTGAAGGAAAATTTAACGACTGTAATTTTTTATCTACATTTGCTTGGACATGCTCTTTGCTTAAAAGGTGAATGATCGTTCCACTCGTTTCCTTAAGAATCCCGCTAGAAAGTGCTTCGTCTTCATCTGTACCAAGAGCAAGGATGTTGGCAAGAGCCGGATTCCCTCTTTTCACTGCTTGCTAAAAATATGCGAAATCCTGCGCTGATTGATTTCGATGAATAAGATATGGACCTGGAAACCAGGGATTCTTTATAAACTCTCTTCCAATTACTGACATCTGCTTGTAGGTCGTTTGTGTCACGAGATGATTTGGAATGTTAAATGTAGTGTCACAAGCCAAAGGCGTAGTAAACCTGGGATTTGCTGATGTTGTGAAGAAGCGTTCTATATCTGTCAAAGACTGTTGCAAATATGCCACAAAACATGCTTGCTTCTCGTGTCTTAACAGGAATTCTGTGATGAATGCTTGATTCTTGTCAAGCAAATCTGGGTCCATTTCGTCAACAGTGGATCTTTGCTCAAGGAGTTTAAGGATAACTTCCTGAATTCCCGGTGTTAAAATAGTAATGCATGATAATCGTGGAACATTTCAAAGTTTATGACTTCAAATTCTTTAGACAACTATAAAATTCATTATATTCTGCTATTGGCATAACAAATATGACATATCTTATAAACGCCGTCTGATACATTTTCATTGTATTCTTATGCACTGATATTCCTCTTTGAGAATGTAAACGCTATTAGGTTTGTTTGCAGTTGGTTTGTGCTTTGCAATCAGCCATTTGGAAAAATTCCAAAAAAGCTTCAAACACAAAACACCTACCAACACTGAGGAACAGCTGCTCACAACCCTCATAGTGTTTAACATCAGCTGTCACATTCTTTCGATTTAGTTTCTCCCTGAAAAATCTGAGAGTTCCTTTCTCTCTCCCAGAATTCTTATACAGTCTTTTGAATGCTGTCTAAACATAAGTAAAAACCTTGAATGTTGGATGATCAAACTGAATGAAACATAAAAAAAGTCTCCATGTCTGAAGGTAAGTATAATTGTTTTAAAATTGAAATTCACTAAACAAAAACAACAAAGTTTATAATTATCACAAACTTCAATCACCCTTACTATTGAATTTAAAATTAAACAAAGGCAAAATGTTAATGTCAACATTTTGTTTAGTTCACCTTTGGGTTACCAAGCAATAGATGTAGTAAACTCGTTCGAAAATGGTTGTGTAATTTCTGTTTAATACATCCAAAACATCATAACATATAAAATAAACTAAAAACATCGTAGCAGTTCACTGCAGTGTTTCACATATTCCTAAAAACTCTCTTAGTTGAGTCGCACGTGTCCGTTCTCCTATTTCCTAATATGGCAAAAACCCGGAAGTTACTCACACTCCCGAGGATATCATTCGTCTAAAGAAATGATATAAAACTAGTAACAATATAAACAGTTTTAAAGTTCAACAATGTTTCAATATGTTCTTTTGTTCAGCGTCGCAGACCATTGCAGCCTTTCGCTTCGGTCTTTGTTCGATAGTAGAACTCTCGGTCACACCAACTTCGTCCTCCTGTTTGTCTTCAAAATTCTTTTGCAATGTGGAATGTAACTCCAGTGGAATCAAATGTTGGATAGGTCGTCTCAGACATGACGGTTTCCCACTTTTCTCATTAATCACACGAATTCTTGCCGCTCAAACAACGTTATCAACACTTGGAATTAGCTCTTCAACTTTCGCCACCTTCCAAAAGGCACGTGACGTCCGATCTGATTTCAGAATCACCATATCTCCTTCGTTTACAACGATTTGGCCCGATCCCGAGGTCGTTCTAGCGGTTTCCAATAAACTTAAAAGATACTCAGCTCTCCACTGGTTCGCGAAATTCTCCAACAGTCTCCGATGATACTTTTCTCTTCGCGTAAGGGATTGATTTGTGCTAACGATCTCATAGTGCTTGTCATTTGCAGTGGTTGCAATTGTACGGCCATAAATCAGAGAAGAAGGCGTTAATGGATAGGAGACGCCTTGTTCATCGTCATAAACGTAAGTTAAGGGTCGGTTATTTAAAGTTCCTTCGATCTCGATCAGCAAAGTCCTCATCTCCTCAAAGGACAAAAATGCACGACCCACGACTTTCTTTAAGCATCGCTTCACGCATTTAACCATCCTTTCCCAGAACCCCCCGTGCCAAGGGGCCTTTTCGATTATGAACTCCCATGTTACTCCTTTATTGGTCAGGTATCGTTGCACTTTGGTAGATCTCGTTATCCTTTTGATCTCTTTTTCAGCTCCTTTAAAAGTTTTTGCATTGTCCGATAATATTCTCGATGGTAACCCTCTGCGTGCAACAAAACGCCGAAATGCTTGTAAAAATGTTGCTACCGATAAGTTCGGCACCAGTTCTAAATGTAGAGCCTGTGTTGACGCGCAAGTCAAAAGGCAAACGTATGCCTTTTTCCTTTCTTCTTCTGTCTGGGTTTCCCCGTTCGTACTCACGTATATTGGGCCCGCGAAGTCGATCCCCGTGTTGGCAAATGGAGGAGCGTCGCTCACTCGACTTTGCGGTAATTGTGGAGCCTTTGGAGTCCCCAATGGCTTACCCTCGAATCTCTTACACACGATGCAAGCTCTTGTCACACGCTTTACTACTTCTCGACCCCTCACGATCCAATAAATTTCTCGCACGCTGTTCAAGGTTTCTCTGATACCGTTGTGGTGTACCGATGCGTGATGCTGGAGAATGACAAGGTCGGTGAAACGATGTTTGGTTGGAAGAAGAATAGGTTGTTTGGCATTTTTTGACACGGATGACTGTTCGATCCTAGCTTGGCAACGGATCAGTCCCTCTTCGTCCCGAAATAATCCTAGTCGCTTCACGAGCGGAGGTTGTTTACACCTCGGTTCAAGCAAATGATTGGATTCATCCACGAAATTAGCATACTGTATAGAGCGTAGCCATAATCTTTCTGCTTCGTTCACTTCCTTTGCAGTTAATTCCACAGATGTAATTCGCACACGTCGAGTCTTATCGATAAATCTCCGTACGTACGCAGTGACTCGTAACAACTTCAATTTTGTGCTATAGCGAGTACAATCTATAATCTTATCGAGATTAAGAGTCGAATTTGCTTTAACTATCGCTAACGATCTCGTTACTTCGGTTTGTGATTTGGACAATTCTTCGTTGGTTCGTTGTTCGTCTTTCTCATTGTGGTCTGGATCGAGTGGCCAATGATCTTCGGATTGTTTCAAGAAGTTTGGGCCATTCCACCACGTTTTATTTTCCGCAAGCTCTGACGCATTACATCCCCTTGAGGGTATATCTGCCGGGTTGACCTCTCCAAGACAAAATTTCCATTGTTCGGTTGTAGTAAGTTTCCGTATTTCGTTCACTCGATTCTGTACATACGTCTTCCAGGTCTTCGAGTTACGAATCCAGCATAGTACCGTATAAGAATCCGTCCACAATACCACCCTTGTAACCACCGGTAAAGACACGTAAGGGCCTTTCGCACGCACGTAATAAGCCTCGCTAGAATAACTGCCCCCAACAGTTCGAGCCTGGGAATTGATTGTTTCTTTACCGGTGCAACCCTAGTTTTCGACGCTATGAGTCGGACATCGGTCCCGCCATAAATATACACCGTACGTAGATACGCTACCGCTGCATACGCCTTACATGAGGCGTCTGAAAATCCGTAAAGCTCGAAAGTGAGTGGGTTATTAGAAATGTCGAAATAACATTGCGGTATTCTAACTCCTGGTAAATTTGACAAATCGTTAATTATGACATTCCATGCTTTCAGTGTTTCCCCGGTTAAGGGGTCGTCCCAAATAACGTTTCCTATACACAGCGTCTGAAATAAGACCTTTATAACGATCGTGAAGGCAGAAAAAAATCCCAGAGGGTCGAACATTTTTGCAGACAGTTTTAAAACGGATCTTTTAGTTGCAGGAAGAGTTTTTGCGTATTGGCTTAACTTCGCTAAATCGTACTCAAATTCATCAGAGTGCACTATCCACGGAACACCGAGCACTTTAACAGAACTGTCTTCGTTTCCATTCATAGTTTTAAGAATTTGGTGTTCGTTTTGAAAGTAATCCTTAATGTTCAAACCGTCCGAATCATTTGACTCGTTCACGCGATCTAGCATAGTTTTCTTGCCTTCCGTTTGAACTCCTGTCGGCTCGTTTTCGCTCCCGAGGGTTTTAACACACTCGCTCTCGCGATTTTCTACAATAGTGGATTCTTCTTCCTTTCCTTGCTGATCTAACGCTACCTGACTTCGAAACACACTCGAATTTGAAGTCCACTTCGGCAACTTAAATCCGCCTTCTCCCATAATTTTGTTAGACTTTTCATAAATTTCGATAGCCCCTGAATCATCCCACGATCCTCCGATCATATCATCGACATAAAACGAGTCCTTTAACAACGAGACCATTTCTGGGTGTTCCTCCATTTGACTCTCCAAGTGTTGTTCAATAACGGTCGACAAGATTGCTGGGCTTGGCGTTAACCCAAACACGAGGCGGCAGAATTGATAGTGTATAATTTCAGGGTGATCTTTCGTAATGTCATCGAACCATAGAAAGCGTAGCATTCGTCGATCCTTCGGAGCGATTTCAATTTGGTGGAATGCCTTTTCCACATCAGAGGCAATTCCAATTGGAAATCCCCGGAATTTAATTAATATGTCGAAGAGATAGGGTACTAAATTAGGCCCCTTTTCAAGACACTCATTGATTGACAGAGTGGCATCTCCGTGTTTCGCAGAGCCATCAAAAACAACACGTAATTTCGTTGTTAGCTTTTCGCGTTGAATTACGCCATGATGCGGTAGATAATGCGTCACCCCGAGGTCGGTCGAATTAAAAACCTGTTCGATTATCCCGGTTTGAAGCTGTTGCTGAATAACATGATCGTACTCGCTCAATAACTCAGGCTCGGCCTTTAAACGTGAATAGACATTATTTAATCGTTTCACACACTGAGTATAACCATTCGTTTCGGGCATACATCCATCTTTCCAAGGCAAACCAACTTGATACCGTTGCTGTACCTCATCGTACCTCACATTCTTCAAAAACTGCTTCTCTGCCATGTCAGTTTCTTCCTTAATTCCAATTGCTTCCGTGTTCCAAAATTTACCAAGTAATTCTGTTAGGTCTTTTTGCTCGTCAGTAACAAAGGCATCGTACAATAACACGTCTTGTTGTTCAGCTACAAAATTGGTCACAGTTTCGTTCCCCCAATAATTTCTGTTCTTGGCACTTCCACACACCAGCCAACAGAATTCGCTGTTCACAGCACAAGGGCCCTCGGCTCCACGTTCTATCTCTCCAGTGACGATATCATAATAATGATCCGATCCGATGAGAATATCTATTTCTGATGACGCACCGTCACTAAGCAGGTTGTCATCCGCCAATTCCAATCCTTCTAAATGAGGATATTGGGTAATATCTAAGGTCGTAGAAAGTGGAGCGCAAATCTTTGGAACTGTGAGAGCTGATATTTCAATGTTCCTGGTCTGCCCCTTCAGCTGCAGTTGGACTTGGTCACACTTACGTTTTTCGATTTGATCATTGCCAAAAGTGTTCAAATTTAACACCTCCGATTTCTCTGAGACAATTCCAAGTTTATTCTTTAATGTATCAGTTATATAGGTACGCTGACTTCCACTATCCATTAATACTCTAACTGAAACTTGCTTTCCCCTAGCACAAGCTTCTGTTGTTGCAGTTTGCAGTAAAACTGTACGTTTATTATATTTCGTTGATCCAGCTGCTGTCACTGTCTGGTTGGCTCCCTGATCCTTGCTCAAGGTCATCGTTGTGAGGGATGACCCCTTTTCTGTGTGTTCTGTACTTCCTGACTGATTTTGCTTTCCATCTTCCCTTGGTGGGTCTGAACTCCGATCCTCGGGGATGATTGACTGTGAGTTCTTATTGCAAATCGATTGATGGTGTTTCCCTTTACATTGTCTGCAGTTCTTGACGCATTGATTTCCACGATGCCCAAATTGCAAACAAGTGAAACATCTACCGGCCTTTCTTAAAATGTCCTTTCGATCACTAAGTTTAGTCACAGTCCCACACGAAGCGGAATAATGGTTTTTTCCGCAAAAGGCACATTTGATGGTAAATGAATCCTCGTTTTTGTTGCCCTGTGCCACTAATGATGTAGTTGAACCGGTATTCTTTGGGTACGGTACCCTCTTATTCTCTGTGTTAGCCTTTACGTGTTCGCTCAGTTCTCTCGCCTCTACCTCTTTTCGAATAATCTCGCCCACACATCCTTCCTTGTATTTCTCGCAATCTGTAGCCGTACATCACTCGACAACTTAGACATTATGACAGGTATTAATAAGCTGCCGTATTGGTCACTATGAACCCCCAGCGCCTCCAAAGCTCGTACATTTACACTGACTTTATCGTAGATGTACCGTAACTGACTTGCCTTTTCTCCACTACACGGTTGTAATTTGAGTAAGTCATCCATGTGGGCTGAGATAATTTGCTGTGAGTTGCCATATCGTTCTTGCAGAATATCTAACGCTGCCTGGTAATTATCTTCGGTTATTGCGAGGCCCTTTATAGAACGAAGGGCTTGCCCCTCCAGTAGGGACACCAAATAATTGAACTTGTCGATGCTCGTCAACTGAGCGTTCTTATCCACCGTGCTTTCAAATATCTGCCAAAATGATTTGTAAGTGGTCACATCGCCCTTGAATTTGGGCAATGTTAGCTTCGGAAGTTTCGATCTAACGGAATTTTGCATGCTCGTGACCGGTATTTGCGCGTTCGAGTTCTGGATTGAATTCGTGTCCGTTATTTGCGTGTTCGTGTTCTGGATTGAATTCGTGTCCGTTATTTGCGTGTTCGTGTTCTGCACTAAATTCGTGCTCTGAGGTGAACTCGGCACAAAAGTGGTTTCGCTATCTTGAGTCGTCGTAATTTGTCCCGTGTCTTTGCTTGTTTTATCGATTAATTCGTTTGTAAACTTCGTAATCTTCGCCTTTACATCACATGCTCGCGAATACACCTCCTCTGATTCCTCTATTTCTTGTACAATTTCAGCCACGTCGCATAACTCTAGAATCTGACTATCTAGGTCCCTTACTTTCTCGATTTTTTCGTTTAATAATCTACCGACCGTATTCAATCTTTCGCTTATAAACGTTGATCTTTCCTCTCCATTCAATAACTCCATCGCTTCTTTCGTGTACTTCGTTAATACCCCGCGGTTACCCGCTCGTATCGCTTTTAATCGTTTGAATTTTTCATCTTGTTCGTCCGCCATATTTCGTATTTATTTTCGTATATAAAACTCGTCGCTATCCTTTGTAAACACCGCAGTGCCCCACATTGGGCGCCATGTAGTAAACTCGTTCGAAAATGGTTGTGTAATTTCTGTTTAATACATCCAAAACATCATAACATATAAAATAAACTAAAAACATTGTAGCAGTTCACTGCAGTGTTTCACATATTCCTAAAAACTCTCTTAGTTGAGTCGCACGTGTCCGTTCTCCTATTTCCTAATATGGCAAAAACCCGGAAGTTACTCACAATAGATAATGATAGGCATTCACATATGTTCTATTAGTAATCGGCTTCCACTCTTAGTTAATTTTTCTAGCATTTATAGTTTCATATCGTATAATGTTAATTAAAGTAGTTCATTCAAGATTCCCACAAAATGCATTAACCCTTATTGAGGCAAATTTTCAAAAAATCACTTGAAAATCCTATAGAAATTCCAATGAAATTTATTCATACATGATGCATGTATTTATAATATTGGACATAAAGAGTTTTTTGCCTGTTAATGGGTTAACACATTAAACATTGGAATGTTTATGAATCTATCCACTCATCTTACCTTCAAAAAACTTCTCTTGGTATGCCAGTCAACAATAACAAATGGATAAAGATGATCCAATCTGTGTTTTGCAGAATGACAGCCAGCCCTTAAATCTCTTGCTTCAGAGAAGCAAACTCGAGTCAACTGGTCAACAAAGCATGGTATTTTCACACCATGCAATGGATCAGATTTGGAGGAAACAGGTGGTACATGTGCAGCTGGTTGGTCAGGTCAAGTCCAGCAGAAACGTAAATTTCCATTTCTCTAGCTGATCCAGTACATCCACACATTCTGAATATTTCTTCTCATCTTTCATGAGGATAGGCATTGTTAAAATTTCTGACTTTGTTGACATTTCCTTGTTATATGTGTGACTGCTAGTACTTGTAGGGAAGAATGGTTTAAACATTTCAAAAGCTGGAAAATGCTCAAACAGAAGTTGTCCAATAAGTATCTTATATCGGTTTCTGATTACTTCCAATTCCAGAGGATTGATATCTACCACCTGGTGAACATTGCAATCCTTCAGACTTTGCTGAGGACCAGAATCGGGCAATCCTTGGTTTGAAACACAGTCAAATACTATACTGGTTGCTACAGCATGAACACTTCTATTTTGAACTTCCTGCCTCATGTCATGTGGCTTTTCTTCCTAGTCAATATTGTCAAGGACATAAACAAACTTGCAACCAGCCTTGACCAATTCTGCAGCATGGTCCAAGAACTGTTTACCAATTTCATCAAGTAGAAGATATTTCATTTTAGGCCCAAGGGACATGCCATATTTATGCAAATTGACAAAAAGTAAAAATACAGTAGCATAAAAAACAATGAATACAACATCATAACTTAACTTTTATCACCTCATTATGAGATTACATGGATTAAGATCAATTCCCCATCCAATGCTGGAGTGGCCTTATGGGTCTTGCTTTGCCTTACTCCTTTTAATTATCAACTGCAAAAGCAGCAAGACTTTGCTCTTGAGTTAACAAGATTACATAGCAATTGAAATTTCTTAGTTGGGAACTGCAGCTTTCACAAACAAGTGGTATATTTGAAAAAGATCATTATAATAAGGCTTCAATAATAAGTCAAATTATTACTTACATTTAGGGATGCCTGGCCTTCTACTAGAAAAATTGAATTTATCCTCTGAATCCTACTTAACTCATGACATTTTGACACATATGTTGCTTTCTAACAGGGTAGACAGAATGCTGTTGACCACTGGACACCTGGTAGCTATTTCATCCAAAACCTCTGTCATCCAACCTTCTGCTGCCATTTCATCATAACTCCTCCTCCTTAGAACAGAGGGGTTTGTTCTTCGAGCCACTTCAATGAGCTCTTTGTTTGCCTCGTATAAGATTTGACTTTGTTAAACATAAAAATATAAAACTATCCATAACACGACTTTTATTGCATGTCTGTTATCAAACATTTTGCAACAGATAACATAGATATGCATCAGTGACTCAAGCATCATTAATGCGCTAAACATGCAGAAAGCATATAATAGAAATCAGACAAATCTCCACTAGATAATACACAATACAAAGTCTAAAGAAGCAAACTTACATGTGGCACCGTTTGAGCAACACTTTCAAGATGGATCAGATCTACTAGTACTAGCAATATTAAAATCAACACTTCGCTGAGAGAACTGCAAGCTGCCAAAACTTTTGCAGTTGCACTGGGGCAGATGGTGATAGTTCAATACAACGTTTTGTACAAACCTCTTCTTTAAATGAACGCTGGGTTTCAGAAATAATGTTTTTGAATGCGATAAAATTATTTACCCTTCTTTCGCAAGTTCGACAGATTAAATGTGAAAGTGTGCTATCTCGTTGAAAATCGCTACCGTAAACAGATTCAGTGTTGCGTAAAATTTCACGATTTGAATTTTTCATGACTTGAACAAATTCTTGCTGTGCTTTGGATCGGTAACGGATTTACAAAGTCTGCAGAGTCAATCCAAACCTTTTGTAGAGCTTCTTTGGCGTCTCTTGGCTCACCATCAACGGGAATGAAAATGAGATGACAACAGTGAAACATGATCCAACATACTCATAATGTAATTCGATATGTTATTCCTTCTTGTTATTGACAATATTATGTCATATTGTGATGCTTTTATATGCATTTCTTCCAAAAACTTATGTCGCACGAATACAAAACAAAAAAAGTTTATTATGAAAATATAGAATTTTCTCAACATAAAAATAACGCTCCCCTATCACCCGTCGCTAAATATAAATTCAATCTAGCACCCAAAGTCTGGGTGCCACATGACCACCCCCGACCAGGGTCTTTACCCTCCCCCCCCCAACGAGTAAAAACCCTGGGTAGGAGGTTGAATGGCAGCTATTTCGAATGTATTTCAGCCACTTCACATGTATTTCTGGAATTTCCAAATCCCTGAAGTAAATTGCCCCCTGTACAGCAACATGTTTGATAACTTTGGCATCACATTCTTGTTCATTTGGCAGGTTCATTGGGACAATTTGGCTCCCTGAACTTTTAACAAATCTATATCTTACAAGAAAAGGTGATATTTCGTTAACAATAAAATTACAAAGTGACAGGATGGAAAACTTACATGTGGCATGAATTAATCACTCATCTAAATGAATACTATGCTACCTAATACTCACCCAATACTGTCAAAATGCCAGGTCTTCTATATAGGCTCGCTTGTCAAATCCTGAAGTTCAGGTTATACAACATTTGCATTTTTTTTAACAGAAACAACATTTAAATTTGCCCATATAAAATAATTTGGGCTTTGTGTTTTTCTATTAAAAATATTGGTTGCTTGATAATATTCAATGCCAGCACTAACTGTTTGGAAAACACTTCAATATTCTGTGGTATATTTAGATAAATGTAGACATCACATTGCAGTTGTTGCAGTACCAGCCCCCCCCCCCCCACTATCAGCAGTAGCCAAAATAAGATTATTTGCAACTCTTGTTAATTGAATTTTAATATCTTGTGGGTAAATTTCAATGAAATGACAACTATTAAAAACAGGGCAAGCAAGAATATCCTATGCATAAAAGGAGTGAGAGAGACCTCAATCACCATGAACAGCGTATTTAAAACACCTGTTGTATCTCTGTGATTGGGACCACTAAAAGTGTGCCACTTAGTGTTGGAAATTATTTGTTTTGATGCGCTTGCAACACTATTCACAATTCTGTTGGGGTTTTTATATATTAGATTTCCTCTCGCAATATAGATCACAGTCCTTACAGCTCCGTTATCACTTCACAATTAAATTACTTTTCGTTTCCTACCTCATTATATCTTCTCTGTCATCTAGTGCTACTAATTAACTACTCATGCTACTAAAATTCCTAAAATATTTGACACACTCCCCCCATTTGGTTCGAAAGAGACAAATGTTCTTGTAATGGTCCATGTAAGTTCATGTCCATAAACAGAAATAATATATGATTGAACTAAATTCATGGCAATATGATTGTGCTAAATTATGTAAATTGAATGAGCGTTTCCTTATCTGTCAGACAACTCGTCATGTTCTTGAAACTCAATTGCTGCGATCCGATCTCTTGCTTGGACGGCCGCTTCTCGCTTCAGTCTCGGTCGAAACTCGACTGCATTTGCATTGAGCTTCGCTGATTCTTTCTCTTTTCTCGAATCACATGACAATTCCAGGGGGAAAAGGTGTTGCACCGGTCTTTCTAACTCTGAATCTCCTACTTGCACTTTTGCTCCTCGTACAACGCTGTCTACTCCCAGAATCACCTTCACTACTTTACCCATTCTCCATTTTCTGTGACTTTTCTCGTCCGATTTCACAATTACGATTTTGCCGACCGCTGGCGATTGATACTTCCCGTCATGTTTGAGGTTGTGCCGTTCACGTAACCCTCTGAGATATTCACCCGTCCATCTACGCCACACCGCTTCCTTGCATCGTCTGAGATATTTTGCTCGCTTTCGCAGGTCCTTTGTTTCAAGTTGGTAATGTTCTATCTCTGACACCAAATTGCATTGATCGTATAGCAGTGAATTTGGAGTCAGGGTGGGAAGTTGGATATTGTCCTCGACGTAACTGAGTGGGTGGTTGTTGAGGGCCACTTCCACGTCCAATACCACTTCTTGTAGCTCTTCTAAAGAGAAGAACCCGTTTCCGATCGGATTGTATAGGGATTGCTTTATGATCCCGATCAAACTCTCAAATTGGCCACCCCACCATGGAGCACGACTCAAGTTGAATTGTCACTTTATTCCTTCTTTCAATAAGAAGTTGTTCACTCTCTCATCTTTCATCGCTGCTCTCAACCATTTCGCTGCTGCAATGAAAGTTCTACCGTTATCTGAATAGATTTTCTTGGTTGAAACAGTCCTCCACCTGAAGAAGATTATTAATAATATTTGCGGATATTTTATAACAAAGACCAATT